TTCAACCATAAGAAGCAAGACACTTTCTTACTCATTTCCTTTGCTGTCTTATTCACTTTAAATCTTGGATTTGTCCCTACTTGAAAACAAAGCTTAAATAATTAGAACTTTTCAATTGAAGCAAAATATAGTTTGGTCTCAGAGCCAATTGAGGGGTTAATCAAAACCTTCAAACAATTTCTCAATCAAGCCAAACCTTTGGTTGTTGTTAGGTTACTTCATAAAGAATTATCTTCACTAACCAATTTAGATGTGTCTAATCCTGGAGGGATTTCCTGCAACATTTAAATGCATGTCTTCTCCTATACAGCGAATGGTTGAAGCTACTCAACCATTCAACCAACGATAGATTACGATTCTATAACAGTACAGAAAATCCACATGATTCTCAACTATTTCTATTTCTGGAAGGAGTTTTGACCTTACTTTTTTTTTTTCCCTTTCAAAGCCAGAGATATTTCAAGAGCAGTAGCAAAACAAAGGCTGATGTTGTCAAAGCAGAAATGAAACACTCCCTATAACGAATATGAAATGAACACATGGTCAGTATGTCAACTATAAAGCCAGAGATGACAAATGGATACATAATTAAAACTTGATACAAACAGATAATGTAATTTTTTTGCATTTTTAAGTACAACACTGTGATAACTTTTTACCAATACATGTTGCTCAATTTGACATGTGTAACTGATTAAATTATATAAAAACTATCAGAGGATAAACTGTTTATTACTGTAGCTGCTTTATGTACAAGGTCTCCAGCCGAGTTGCATTTTTGTTTCCATGTTTAAATCAGCAGGCGAGCCAACTTCACACCATTCTCCTTATTTTGTCTTCTTCAAGAATTACAGACTTCATTGTGGTAGATTTTTTTTAAAATCCAATCTTATGCAGTTGACCACAAAGAAAAGCACTATTGATATTATATTATTAATATTTATTAATTTTCATTTAGCAACTGACAGTCACACCTAAAGTAAAACATGTGGTATATAAATCTATTTTTTAGGTTAATATGTACTCACAGGCGCAATCTGATCAGATGATAATCAGAAATGTGTCTGCTTTGTTGCTCCTGGCAGGAAATTAGATCCATAAATTCATGCTCACTTTCTGGAAATGCACAAAAATATATTGATCTCCATCAGCTACTGTTTCTTCAAGTGACTGCAAGGCAAATATATGCGACAAGGACTTGAAAAAAAAAAGTCAGAATAAAAAACGCTTAAGTTTTCTTTATATTTTAGTTTTTGACAATTTATATTAGTTTGTAATTTCTTTTATTATTAATATTGAAATGTATTTCTACATAGGTCTATAAATATATATGCATGCATGGATGGATGGATGGGGAGACAAATAAATTAATTGTTTGTCAGATGAATTGATGAACAGATGTGTAAATGATGACCAGATCATAGGATGGTGGATGCAATGACAAATGGATGCATGATGGACAGGAGGATGTATGAACTTATGAATGGATAGACTGCTTATTAACTAATGGGTGGATAGTTTTTTTTTTTTTTTTTTTTACCTTGGAAATAGACATAAAGCCTGACAATGAAGAACACTTTCAAGCTCTATTTTAAAAATAAAAAAAAAAAAAAAATAATAATAATAATAATAATAATAACATTTACCTTTCCATAGTGGGCACAAACCCTGTAAATAAGAAGTTAAGCTTTAACAAAGATGAAATGTAACATTTCTACAAATGCTTAAAAACCGTTTAAATGAATCCAACCATTTAATTACTGTAATATAGCTTGGGATTGTATAGCCTCTTGGTATTTGAGCAGCAGTTGTGTTTTATTACAATTCAGAGCAGGCAGAAGGTAAATAGTTAAAGGCCTTAAATGCTGTCCATGACTCTCATCTCCTCACAGCTGAACCTTTTGCATCTCTGGCAGGTCAGTTTGACTTTATGTTTACCAATTTTTTTATTGATTGGCAACCACAAACAGAGCACGTTCTACAGGGTGTATTTCTGATTTCATTATCATTAATATTACTGAGATTCAGCTGGCTCTACTTTTAGATCTGCAGTTTCTACTGTTTTTCAAAATGATTTCTTGCTTCACTTGTCCCCGTTCAGAGGAAAAAAGGGAGTTGTGAACTGGAATAAAGAAGCTATTTCAGGGGCTTTTTAGTCTGCGCTTCTAGATACCGTCCATTAAAACAGGTCCGTGAGAGAAACTGTCCGTCATTGCTGACAGTTCTCGCTGTGAAGCCTTGTGGGGATTAGCTACAGAGTGCTGAGAAGATCAGAACCGTATGCATCAAGTCTGCAAAAATATGGATGAAATGAAACCATTCTACAGAGAATTTCATACGGTTTCAGCAGAGCTCTTTGAATTTTTATATGATGATTCAGTAACATGTGGCAGCTTAGAGAGAAAAGGTCAGGTTATGATCGAGTGTAGCCTCACAGTAAACAACATAAGTGTTTTTAAAGAAGCCAACTGGACTTGTTCAGCTCTCACCAACAGCTGGAAATACTTTGACTTTCGCGCTTTTAAGGCACATGTAGTTTATTATTACCCACCCAATGACTGTGGCTTTTACCTAGAGTTTGCAAAAACTTGTCAGACATTACCATTGTGAATTATAAATTGGCCATCAAATAAAACAAAAAAATGTCAAACGTGTTTACTGACATATTTCACCACTTATATTACCATTTTTGTTTTTAAATCTTGAGAATTGCAGGATTGTGCATTGTGATGAATATATTGCATTTGTGATGAAAACAAAATTTATGTCCAATAAATCATTGCACTGATGTTGCACATGTTTAACAACGTTGGGACCAAAGTCAAGAATAGTTGTGTCAGTGTTGGAGCAAACTTGCCACATAGGTTTCCTCAGTAGGTCCCTGTATTAATATCAGCTGCATGCCGCTTTGATTGCATTGCATCCAAGCTGGGTGGACTGTGGCACAGGGGGTGGAATCAAGTTTTTAAAGTCCAGGGAGTTTTTAAAGGAGGCTAATAGGGAGGCAGTGATAATGTTGGGGTGTCACAAAAATAAATACCCAGGCAGAGCTGGAATAAAAGTGATTGATCCAAAACGTAAAGGTCAAAGATTCAGATAAGTATATAATAGACAAATAAGTCGGACTGATTGAAGATATTCAACTTTTTAAAATATTCACCATTAAATATATTGAATAGGTACAATTCTTCAGCATATAAGTATATTGTCCTACATGTTTCAAAAATGTCTGACCTCTCCTGGCAGTTTGGCAGACTTGGATCAAAGGTTTTTTTGAAAAGTGCTTTTACCTACTCAACCTACTCAGGTCTCTTTTAGCTACGTTAAAAAACATGGGTAGCTTTAAAATTACCTTGGGAGGATTGTTGGGTACCTAGAGCAAGAGCTTTGGATTAACTTCTTTAAATTAACTTAAATTTCTTTCTCAAGCCTACCTTATGAATATGTATTGAAAAGTATCCTTCTTCTGGAATTTGCAAATTGTAAGTATGCCATTGAAAAGCATTGCATATTTTAGATTTTATTCCTTATTCAGGGTTCTGAAATATAAGTCAAAAAAAATATTAAAGAAGTGGAAAATGTATTTGTTTTCAATAAAAAAGGTGGAAAAAGAGTTTTAATTGCACTTATGACAAGTGCTGCATAGTGAAGACAAGCAAATAACATAAACAATATAATTTGTGGAAAGTGTGCAACACAGACTTTACACAAGAATGTTAAAAATAATAAAAATAGTAATAAAAAAACTATGTGTATTGCATGCCCTAATGAGATCATATCACAAATTATTTGCAGTTGAAATTGCAGTAAAAGAATATTTACCATGTTCACTAAGTAGAACTAAATACAATGGATGCCACACTTTTCAAATTTTTATAACTTTACAATTGTGTTACTTTGTGTCAGATATAATCCCAATAACTTACTGTGATTGCCAACTTCTGTGATTGCGATGTGACAAAATGTGAAGAAATTCAAGGGGTGTGAATACTTTAACCTAAAAACAGAGGGGATACAGACACCAATTTACAAAATTTTTTTTGAGCTTTTGTCTCACAACAGTGCTTTCATGCTAATACCTCTACATTTACATCTGTAAATAAAAGAGGAATGTATTCTATAAATGGGAGAGGCGGCAAATGGCAGGGAAAAGAAATCCCTCAATTTATCACCAACACAGATCCATAATTATAAAACCTGACTAACAGCGACATCAGAACTTTAGTTTTAACCATTAAGCCGAGTTGCTCAGCGAATGTCTTGATGTTTTTGTACTCATCTTTTCAGCTTAGTTCTATGGCCTGAACTTCTTGAACACACCCTGATGGTAATCTCAAAGACAGTTCACACATGAGTGTGTCTTGTAAATTAAACCAAGAAAAAAAAAAAACATCCATGTGAAGCAATCAGTATTGGCTTCACCGATACACATTAGCACAAAGGAAAAAAAAAAAAAAACCTGATTGTGCCCATGATTCCAGAGAAAAAAAACCCCAAAGAGGAGTATTTCATTTGTAGAAATTACTTGGGTAAAAACAAAGATAGATTTTAAAATTTTGAGCATATTCAAAATTAATGAAACAAATCTTGGGGAATTAAAAGTTCACCAGATGAAGCCAAGGGTGTCCATTCATTTGGAGGACTCAGCCAGGTGTGAGGGTTGATAATATGTTCATGGAAGCGTGCTGATTCCATCGAACACCTGCGGCTTCTCCAATCTATTTCTAGCCAGAATTATTTTTATTAGTTCAAATGCTATGGAGAAACGGTGAGTACTGAAAGTGAGTCAAAACAAAAAGATAAAGAAAGAAACAAAGATAGGTAATGTGATTATGTAATAAGAAAATAAACTCTTGATGACAATAGTGTGTAAAATTCCTTAAGAAACTCGACCCTGTGTTATGTTGCAAAATAATAATCAGAATGATCCAACTACAAGTGATTTTGTGCAAGTGAAAAATACCAAAACCTTAACAGTTTCCTATTTTCTTCTTTTTCAGGTTCCTTTAAATGAGGTAACATGGACAAAGTGGTCATCTGCCTCCTGATTCTGGGAACCGCTATGACATTAGTCCATGCATGTCCCAAATACTGCGTCTGTCAGAACCTCTCAGAGTCTCTGGGGACCTTGTGCCCCTCAAAAGGTCTGCTTTTTGTTCCACCGGACATAGACCGGAGAACTGTAGAGCTCCGGTTGGGAGGCAATTTCATTCTTAAGGTCACCACTCAGGACTTTGCCAACATGACAGGTCTGGTGGATCTAACTTTGTCTCGCAACACCATCGCAAGCATCCAGCCTTTTTCATTTATTGATCTAGAGACATTGAGGTCACTGCACCTTGACAGCAACCGGTTGACTGAACTGGGAGCAGATGACCTACGAGGGTTGATCAACCTGCAGCACCTGATCCTCAACAACAATCAACTAAATCAAATCTCAGATTCAGCTTTTGATGATTTACTGCTTACTTTGGAGGATTTGGATTTGTCTTACAACAACCTGCGCAGTGTGCCTTGGGAAGCCATCCGTAAGATGGTCAACCTGCATCAGATGAGTCTGGACCATAACCTCATCGCCTTCATTGCTGAGGGGACTTTTGCAGACCTGGAAAAACTGGCTCGCCTGGATCTGACATCCAATCGCCTCCAGAAGCTTCCTCCGGACCCAATCTTTGCACGGTCCCAGAGCAGCATGGTAATGAGTACACCTTATGCACCTCCACTCTCTCTGAGCTTCGGTGGAAACCCACTGCACTGTAACTGTGAGGTACTGTGGCTGCGAAGGCTGGACCGTGAGGATGATATGGAAACATGTGCCTCTCCAGCCAGTCTAAAGGGGCGCTACTTTTGGTCTGTTCGTGAGGAGGAATTTGTCTGCGAGCCCCCACTGATCACTCAACATACGCACAAATTACTGGTGCTGGAGGGCCAAACAGCTAGTTTGCGTTGCAAAGCAGTTGGAGATCCAATGCCAACTGTGCATTGGGTTGCTCCAGATGATCGTTTGATTGGCAATTCCTCTAGAGCCACTGTATATGAAAATGGCACCCTTGACATAGCAGTCACCACATCCAAGGACTATGGCATTTTCACTTGTATTGCTGCCAACGCCGCAGGGGAGTCTACTGCCTCCATCGAGCTATCAATCATTCAACTGCCCCATATCACTAACAGTACTAATCGTACTACACTGCCAAAATCAGGACTTTCAGACATCACAAGCTCTACTAAGATAGGCAAAGGGGAGCCCAAGCCTCCTCCAGAAAAGGTGGTTTCTGTATCTGAAGTTACTGCCATCTCTGCTTTGGTGAAGTGGACTGTAAGTAAATCAACCCCAAAGGTCAAAATGTTCCAGCTTCAGTACAACTGTTCTGATGATGAAGTTCTCATTTACAGGTAAGAGAAGCTGCAGTCAGTTATTTCCAAAATAAAACTGAAATCTCACTGACCAAAGGGCTCAATTAGGACTGATATATAATTTATTTACCTCAAAATGTCATAATAAGTTCAGGTATTAGGGTTAATTGCTAATTGTCAGAGCTCTTGAGACAACTATTTCTTCTGAAGCATTACTCTGAGATCAACATTCATCATTCTTAATCCGTTTTAGGTTGCTTTTTTTTTCATCATAAAGCAGACAGTTTTGTGGGGATGCAGCTTTTGCATGCTGAGAAATCCAAAGAGAAATCCTTGCCCTGAACCATTAATTAGAAACCCAAGAAGAAAAAGGATTATAGAGCTCATTCTAATGTATCCCTCTTAAGCTGCTGAACTCCATACAAGTGTGGGCCTTAGCGACAGTAGCAGAAGATCTTTGGGGGCTCTGTGAAATCAATATTCTGTTTTAGATGAGATGCTAAATGGAAAAAGAAATTCTGATGGATAATTGTCTGGAAATATAGAATACAAAGTGTTCAGCTAAAAATTGGTGTGGTACATATGGAGAAGAAAAATAGCTTTTTCCAGATTCAGTATACCCTGAAATAATATTTATAGATCTTTCCAGAGAATGCCCACATAGTAAGGCACAAGCCATTGTGAAAATTAGATACCTTTCTAAGCCTCAGCAGTTTTATGTGACACCTTCCAAGCTCCAATAATTGACAGGAAATTTCTTCAAAATCTTATCAGGTAATTTATTTTCTGCTATTACTGCACAGGACTGGTGTTTAGCTGGGAATCTGAGATTATAACCAAACACAGCAATGAAGAATGTTACTTTGCACAAGCGGAGTTGATGCATCTCACATCTGTGCAAATCCAATAATAAGCTTTTTATCTGATTTCCTTCTCTTTCATGAACATTCTGTGCCAGCTTTCCTCTTTTTCTGCCTGGTGACAATAGCGGATGAGTCATCTACATTTGCATTCATGAGGACCTAGACAATACTAAAGCAGTTCTCCACATTTTCTTTTTTCTTTTAAATTACATTAAATTGCATCCCTGTTTCTTTTTATTGTTTTGCAGCATATTTAAAAGCCATAATTAACTTGTTGACCAAAAATCTATTGCATTCATTATGTTTTTAGGATTATAGCATTCCCAGAAAGGACTGTTTTCATTAGATCAAAATGAATAAAAAGAAATGTGCAGCTGCAGTAGCTCAAAAGGGTCAAAGAGTTCATTATTTACGTTTGATGTTGAAGCAAATGTTTACGCTCACCTGGTGGCTAGTAGTACCGTAAAATAATTTTGTGTCAGTTTTTAAATTGCAAACACACTATATGTGATGTTTGTTGACAGGCTTTTATAATCACCTAAATAATTAATTTTACTTTATATTTAACTGCTGCTCTGACATCTGAAGCTTGGATTAAACATTCTCTTTAACAGGACAGTGATCTTAAACATATTATATTTACAGCACAATAGCTGAAAAAAACTAATCAATGTGCTGCAATGGCATAATCAAATTCCAGGTTCCCTTCTTTGAAAAAGCAATGCTTCAACAAATATTTTGAAATTCATCAAACAATGAAAGAGACTGATGAGGATAAATTATAAATTATTAGAGACTGCGTTTACTGTTTAATTCTTAATGTTCACCATGTTGTATCTATAATTGCATATTTATGCCCGAGGATGAGCAGGAACAAGAATAAATCTTCTTATGAAAACCAGTTTCTAAACTCATATCAGATAAAGTAATATAAGTTTATTGCTTGCAAATGTTCCCCTTTGTCTGAGATTTCCACTTAAGAATTCAGATAAATAAAAATCAATCATGGCCATGAGGGGCAGCAGAGCAAATGTATGAGTTCACTTGCAGTTTGCATAACAAGGCACTTATGTTGAGCAACAAACACTCCCAGTGGTGCCTTCAGAGTTCAAACAAGTTGATGGGTGTACCATCCAAAGCATATCATACTATCAAACAGATGAGAGAAAGAGACATTTCAAGCATCAACAAGAATAGTTATTTATAATTCCCGCTTAAAGGAATCCAGTATAATTGCTTGTTTTCTCAGAATGAATCCATTTGGTAACTTAGAATTATTTATGTCTAATTAATAAAACATCCCAAAACAGTTGGTATAATCCAATTAACTGTAAGGTATGATAAATGAAACACACCACAAATTGCATGCAACCCAAACAATATGCATAAAGTGAATATTTAGATTTTATCCCATTACCATTTGCATCCTTCAAATCAAATGTTATAAAGTGGAAGAAAAGTGGTAATCTCTTTAAATTACTTTCTGCATATAAAATGCTACATATCATGTTTATTCTTTGGTATTTCTTTTATATGCTCTGTCTAATTCAAAAGTGCTATGAGCATGTTTATTCTTATCAGTTTTGATCCCCTGCGGAAAGACTTTTGTCACGCTTAATCTTCCCATTTGTGCTTTCAGGATGATTCCCAGGACTCACCGGGCCTTCATAGTCACCAATCTGGTGCCTGGAATGCAGTATGACCTGTGTGTCCTGGCCATCTGGGATGATACCGCAACCACTCTCACTGCCACCAACATTGTTGGATGTATCCAGTTCGTCACCACAGAAGATTACCCACAGTGCCAGTCTCTGCACAGTGGATTTATGGGTGGCACTATGATTCTGGTCATTGGTGGCATTATTGTTGCGACTCTGCTGGTCTTCATCATCATTCTTATGGTGCGCTATAAGGTAACCAGTGGGATTCAAACCAATAAATTACCCACTGTAAGTAACACATACTCCCAGACAAATGGGGGAGTGAACAGGTTCAATGGAGCCCCACCACAAGTCAAGTCCACAGTAGTAGTTATGCGTGAAGAAATGGTGGAGTTTAAGTGTGGATCCCTCCAGAGTAGCCTTTCTTCGTCATCATCGTCCTCTAACTCGTTGGACAGCCAAACAGGAAGAGGAGCAGGCTATAATGCGCAGAGTAGCGAATGCAGCAGCCTGCCAAGTACCAAGTTTAGGAGGCATGTGCATGGCACTAAGGCTCGGCAAAACCTCGACCAACTTTTAGGCGCCTTTACGTCGCTAGAGCTACGGGGTGCAGCAAAGGACCACCAAGGAGCTTCTGTTTCCTCATCCTCTGCTGTTGCCAATCCCATGACGACAGTGGCTGTGGCACCACCATCTGACAAAGAACCCCTACTTGGGAGGGCTGAGTCCACAACAATGCTGGGGCGTCTACTTGGGTTTCAACATGAGGATAAACCCAAGAGGAGTCACTCATTCGACATGGGGCATGTCGGGGCAGTGCAGTGTCGCAGCAGTCAGCCACGTAGGATCAGTAACATCTGGACTAAACGCAGCCTGTCTGTTAACGGTATGCTTCTGCAGTACGACGACAGTGAGGATGAGAAACCCACTTTTGAGAGCTCCGAGTGGGTTATGGAGAGCACAGTCTGAGTCTATGACCAAACAATAGATCTATATTAAAAACTAAGAAACATGAACACAGTGGAATATTCTGTATGAACTTCAATCATGTGAATATTGTTATAATGATTATGTGAAAAAACTAAAGCTGACTGTCCAAGATTGAAACTCTTGACAATATTTGAAAAATGTTTCATTTTGAATCAACTGGAGAAATTACCTATATGGAAAAACTATCTACAGAAAGATAAGATACTCATACTGGATTTACATCTTTAAAGGAACTGAACTCTATGAGGACTTACTTCACCTGTGATAACCTAAATCACACGTTTCAGACTCAAAATGGAAATATTCCAGCTGTAGAAAGAGGGGGACCACAGGAGCTAGTATAGTAGAAAATTAAAACAAAGTCATTTTTTATTTTCATGTTCTTTTTTATCATTTTTACTATTTATTATTTCAGGTGATTCGCCAGAAGACTCACCTCAAAACATTAAAAACAGGTTTACACAGGATGTACCAACTCTCATGTTGCCATTTTATACCCTTATTTTCCCTCAGCAATTGCAGATTTATCATCATCATTTTCTCAGGTTATGCATGAGGTGACCGTATGAGAAACAAAACAAAAGCTAACTTAAAACACAGGCTGTGCTTGTACTCAAGTTCACAAAAGTTTTTTTTTGTTTGTTTGTTTTTTTTTTTTTTTTTTTTTTTAACCAATCAGTATCTGAAAGGCAGCACACAGCAGTCAGTGATCTCATCTTGAGAAATCATAGGAACTCAAATTGGGGAATTGAGCTAACAGCCAATCAGAGCAGGAACCACTTAAAACCATCAGGATAGAGTCTAAAACAACTCAGTCAAATCTTTCCCATTTTTTTAAGCTTCAAGTACTTTGTCACTTTTGTATGAAATTGTCATTTAGACACCGTTTGGTATCTTAACCAAATAGTGTCCATATAAGTGTGCATGCCCTAGAGATGGTGGGTAGAATACCCAAACTGTGAATCATTGCTTCTCTGTATTGATAGGTCCCAGTGGAAGTGGCTTTGGTAGCTTTTTGGATATGTCCCAAGACCACAAAGCCCCATTGCCAGGATTTGCTGTAAATGCTAAATCTTACAGCCGTCTTGAGGATTCCTAACAACCTCGGGGCTCTTGTTTACAAGTCAGGGTACAACTAAGGAGTAGATTACTTTGTCGATGAGATCAGCATCTGCTGTGATGTGGACACTGCATCAGTGAATAGTGAAGAAGAGAGACCTGAGCTGACGGACAAAGCTTTCAATTTACACGCCAATATATGTTCCATCACTCAGTTAAGGTCATTAGTTGTGGGAAATAAGACATCTGTGCAACTGGATGGAATTAGCTTCTCATAAGGAAATGGTGTGAAACTCTGCTATGTAGAAGGTGCCCAAATTACCAACAAAGGTAATTTGGGTATTGCCATCTGGGCCAAATTGGAAGAACCCCTTCCACAGATTTGGTGGAGATTACATTTTACAACTCTCTCCTGAACCCCTCAGAGAAATCACCAAATGAACTGAAGGACGTAACTGAGGGGAACTACACCTGGAGATCTCAGTTTTATAAAATACTGCTTCAAGTAAAGTAGTTTAACTATCCTGGTTGTTTAGGTGTAGGAGTAAAACAGGGGAAGAGATCTGACTGTAAGACTGGAGGGACATCTGCAAAATAAACACTGAACCACCCTGCATTGGTGACAAAAGAAATGAGGCAAGACTTCTCAACTTACCCATCAGTGGACATGAAATCCCTTGGCCAGACTTATGAGTGTGGGGATTGAGCAAATGAAATAAAGTGTGAATTAAAGTAGCTAAAATTACCTTTCAGCAGTGGGATTGAACTCCTATAAAGAAAAAATCCACTTCAGGAAGGCAGTCAGAGATGGTGCTTCGTTGCACTGGCAAATAAATACCATTAACTGACGTAGTTTTGGCATCTAGAAAGGATACCTGTTGATCTTCTGATCAAAATAGCCTGTATAGATAATCTCCTAATTTAATTGGGAATGAATTAGTGTCCCCCAATTGAGGTAAGGTGAGGGCCTTCTGGCAATATTTGTTTTCTTTTGTATCCTTGCTGTTGAGTGGAGAGAAAATGTGTGATGAGTAAGAAGATTTCATGTAAAAGTAGGTGACTCAACAAACAGAGTGCTATTGAAAAGGAAGCTTTAAATTCAAGTTCAAGCTTCAGAGTGTGAAATTAGTTCAGGTAGGAGCTGTTAGCTCGATTTCACAATAATTTACCCTCCCCCCAATTCTCAATATTCAGATCACTCCAGCTTCAGGAAAGATACTGACAGCAAATACTCATTCTGCTCGCCCCCCTACCAAGTTGGTCTCCCAGGAGACAATTATAACATTTGTCCAGCTCAGGTTGAAATCCTGCTTTGCAAAGTAATTTGATTATCTGGTGCTGGTTTGCAGGAGTCCCTGCAGACCAACGGCTCATTGATGTGAACGTTGTTTCCCTAAGAGTGTGGTTTCAGCTACTATCAGCACAAATTACTGTAGCCAAATGCAAATAGTGTTTGAAATTCATCAAACCCTTTTAATCATTTGCCCAAAGCAGCCAACAGCATGATGTATCACCGGATCCTGGAACTCTTCAGGCAACAAAAAGAAGAAAGCATGATAATTACTCATTTAGCCAGGTTAAATGGAGGAATTTGTCATTTATTGGCTGCATAAAGGTCACTATGCTGCTCATGAAAGGATTTTATTTGGAAAAATGGGAAGAGTGATGACTTTCAGGGAGCCAATAAGTTGCAAAGCCTGGAAATTTATTTCACCGCATTGCATGATACAAAACCTATTTTAATTAATGTTACTTGACTTGATTCACCTGAGGAACGATTCATCTGTTATTCTCCGTCATACAGGGCTGTACATTGCAGTAAGATACTTAAAATTTGTTACTTTTCAGATCACTGCCTAAAGTTAGCTGCATCATCCGTGTGTTTTGATGCCTTTATCAGTATTCTGTGGGACTCTGCTGCATTTCAAAAATGTTGGGTGATCATCATTTCTGTTTCCTCCTACAGTAGATGTACTGTTCTGTATATTGGTATATTTTTTGTACAATACCTGGGTGAGAATGTATGGGGGATTGTGCAGTAGTAATTTTATTTTCATGTGAAGCAAACAGTGAGAAGGTGCTTTACTGTGGTGTACCAACAAATGGTGGTTGTTAGTTGGCTTACTGAATGGGATTTTACATGATGTTTCAAGAGTGGAGGACTGGAAATTTTTAAGTGTTTGAATCAACAACTAAAGTGCGTATTTGCTCTTTATGTGTTTACACGGTCAGTTTTGTGTTTGCTTCCTCACCACATTTAGAAAGTTAAATAATTGCTTTACTTTTTTCCCCGAGCTAAGCCCGACTTCCAATTAGTCATAATTATATTTCTGTAAATTTTTTCTGACAACTCATAAACAAAATTTGTGCATATCATTATTTTTAAATAATGATATGCACATCATTATTTAAAACAGCATGTTTTAAATAAAATATGGCCCACATTTGTGGGCCATATTTTTCTAGGCCCACGTTTGTTGATTTCAAGTCAATGTTCTGAGATTTTTTTTATCATAAATAACTACATTATAGATAGAAATAAAAATAAAAAAAAACATTGTACACAAGTTGTCAATCACTCGAAGAAAAGCGAATGAGTATTTATATATCAGTACTTACAAAAACAATCTTAAGGACTAATTCTAAAAATGTTCCCACAAGTTAAAATTTAAATAAGGTTCTAGGATTTTGATTTAATCTTAAAATAGAACATTCATATTCACATACCATATTTTCATCTCACGTATAGAAAATGATTGTAGGTTATGAAGGAATAAACTAATTAGCAAACTGACAATGGCATTTTCAGTTATTTCTACAGTATTTACCAGTGCAGTAATCAAAAAGAAAAGTTGGATTTGTCTTGCAAAAAAGAAAAATTCAAGTGAAACTGTGCTGTTTGTGTTTAACCGTTAATGGAAATAAAGGTTTTACATTTGCCTTGATGGTAGAAGATAAAATAGATCATTTCAAAAACGGACATCTCAAGACAGAACCAGACTAAATCAAAACTGTGTGATGGCAAAATGAGAATGGTGCTCTGGTTCTTAGTGGGAAGCAACCATTGAGCCTCTGCGTGTAACATCATGTATCATCCCTCTCCACTCTGCTAACTAACACTATAAACTTAAATGTGTTCTTGACTCGACATAGACATGATTCTCACCTGAACTTCTAAGCAGAAAAATCAATTAAAAATCTGTTTGTGTGAAAACATTTTGCTACAAAATGATATAAAATATTGATAAATTCCTATGAACCAAACTGGCTTCAATTTGTTTTCTTTTCTTGAAAAAGTCAGCTGTCATATTTGTTAGTAGCTGCAATGCTTGAGTCAGATCAATGTTAATTGTTTGTTTTTGCGTCTCCCCACAAAGCACTGAAACATTGAGTGTCCTTCTTGTCATCCTGCAGATGAGCAGAGGGGGATTTCCTCCAGAGGTCCAGCTGCTGTAATCAGGCCAGTCGCTGCTGACTCACCTCAACACTGTCCTTATTACAAATCACCTGTACATGCCGCTCCTGTGCAGAGCCCATAATAAGGCCTTAATTCATGTAATCTGTTAGCGAAGGTGCTTACAGCAGCACAGAGTAAATATAATCTCTACAAGGGGAAGGCGTTGCATGACGAAGGTGCAGGATGAACACGACCGCTGGATGTCAAACACAGCACGAGCGCTTATTAATAGATCTTCAGTTGTCAAATATTGAGTTTGAAAATACAAATTAAAGTTTTACAATGACAGGTCAGGCATTGAGAATATCCCTTCATAAAAATTGAAGTGAAATAAACTAAAATGTAAAACTTTAACAATCCAACAATTTCTTCCAGCGTTCAGTTCACATTTTGCCTCTCTGCGTCTCTTTCAAACTGTTTATTAAATCTGTCACAAGTTATCATCTACAATTAACTCATTCTTGAGAATTAAAGCTGAATAGTTCACGCTGCATGTCGCCTGGATGCAGCTGTTAATTCAACAGGAAACAGGTTCTTGTTCTTCTAACACATTGAATTAAATTGAGACCTTGTTTCTGTTGTAGATCTCAGCTTGCATGCAGGGAAAAGTAATTTACATTTAATGCATTCCCCCTCTGCACCAAACAGCTCTTTTGGATTAGACATAAAACTAAACATGCAATTTGAAGCCTATTCTGTCTTTTTACTCCTCCTTTTTATATATATTTGAACTCTACAGTCTGAAAGCAATGAGTGTCTCTTTTTCACTTTAAACTGCATATGTTTTGAAATAATGATTAAGTCAAGAGAATATTGAACCTGGCTTATATGCTTGACACAGGACAGCACAGCATTTTATCTTGTTCCAGAATTTTATTAAATGTCTTGCATTTCTATATGTTTCCATTTATTGAGTTTCTCGGTGTTAAAGATTATTTTATGAAGAACTTTTGTGGTTTTAATATTGCGGGTTGTGTCACAACATATGCTTCCTGGAGATTTTCCTTTTTTGAAGTCTGGATTTCTTAAATTGGTTCTTCAATAAAGAAAAAAAACAAGTGATTAGAAAAAGCAGACAGATATTTTTAGAAACAGATTATAGTGAA